GGCACTGCAACTCTGACTACAGTTTGCCCAGCAGTTACATGTTAAAGACAATTCTGAAAAAAAAAAAAATCTACAGCAGTGTACAGTGGAACATTTTCTAGTACTATTTAGGCTTAGAAGTTTTTTTATTTCTACCTTGCATCTTTGGTAATAATGGCTGGGTGGGCCATACTGTCTAAAGATGGTATCAGGATTCCATAGCCAGAGTTTAAGGTCATTAACTCACAAAGATACTGACATGATAAATGGCATGTTCTAAACATTGTAGAGTGGAAAGAAACTGGGATTGGATCCACTCTCTGCCATTATCCCTAGCCAATACCTGGTCGTGACCGGGAGTCCACTGAGGTCTTCAGGATTGAGAGGAAGCCAAGGGTCTGAACTACCCTGAGTCAATTATTCTGGCAGTAGCCACTAGGGCAGTTTCCAAACCAGAAAATCAGTCACAAGGCCAAGTGCAGGTGAGACATGCATGTTTCAACATAAAGTCCAAACTGAGTAATATACCCAGCAAATTTATCCCTATGAGAGAAGGGGGTAGGGTGGGGGTCTGGTTGAGGTCCCAGTGGTCAGGGATAGGAAGTCAGCTGGAATCGATGGGTGGTGGTGAGACAGGGGAGAGGACTGTGGCATCAGGCAGGTAAGCCTCCTGCCACTGGGGACTTGGGTTAAAGAAATATAAGCAGCAGCCCCTAACACGCTCACTGCCATGCTGAAACCATAAGCAGCGGACATAGGGCTCTTTCTTTTTCCAAGGAGTGGTTTGGTCTTCGGATAGGACAATGAATGCATGTGTGGGTTAAGACGGTTCAGAAATAAAGAGTAGAAGGAGTCCAAACTGCAGATCGAGATAACCCTTTACTCCCTTTTTCCTTTGGTAGCTGAGGCTCCTTGGAATCCCAGGGTAACCCAGAGAAGGCAAACCCAGCTTGGTTCCTAGAATCTTAGAAGGTTGTTTTTACCTTTGATGCTTGACGAAGCAGGCTTTGTACATCTTGAGTGTGGCTCAAAGGGTGTATAATTTGGGCAACGCTTAAATAATTGTGTAAAGAATGATCACTTTTATATATGAAGTGACAAACCCCAGCAGTGACAGGTTGGGAGGAGCAAGCCTGTCAATGCCTCCTTGCCTCCAGTTTTGTCTAGAGATCTCATTTTATTGTCTTCTTCAGAAAATTCAGCTTTGGCCCATTAGCAAGACAGTTTTTGAAGGATGTAAACTTTTCTCAACACCCAAGGATATATTTTGAATCTTCCCCTATATCTAGCATCAACAAATCAGGTCAACATCAAAATTATATAAATTTTACATCAGTCAGATAGAAGTATAGTGAAAATGACATGTTTTAAGATAGTTGAAAGTGTGAATTATCATTGAGTGACTCTCTTTAATAAGTAAAGGAATACAGAGTGACTCTCTTTAATAAGTAAAGGAATATAAACTAATTTGTGGCTGTGAAATAGGGCCACTCCTTGAGAATAAGGAAATAGTAACCCAAAAAGGAATTACGTCAAACCCTTGCTCCTTAACAGGGAGTCAATAATAGTTTCCCAATTCTAGTTGAAGTTTCTATTTCACTAACACATTGCTTCTCCTCCCAGTATAATTTCCTTATTTTATTTAATTTTTTTATTTCTGTGAGTACATAGTGGGTGTATATATTTATAAGGTACATGAGATGTTTTGATACAGGCATGCAATGTGAAATAAGCACATCACATAAAATTGGGTACCCGTCCCCTCAAGCATTTACCCTCTGTGTAACAAACAATCTGATTATACTTTTTAAGTTATGCTTATATGTACAATTAAGTTATTATTTATTATTATTGACTATGGTCACCTTCTTGTGCTATCAGATACTAGGTCTTATTCATTCTTTCTAATTGTGCTTGTACCCATTAACCATACTCCCAATATAAATTCCTCCTGGCATAAATTCTTTACTAATGAGGAGATTAGACATGGGATAGAGAAGGTTTGGAGATTCCTGTCTAATCAGTAGACATCTTTCCCTACCCCTCAGTAACCCAGATTTCAAAGACGAATTTTCCTGGTTGTATGGACCAAAACACAGCATTGCATTTCAGAAGTGGCCACTAATGGCCAGTCTTCAAGGAAATCTCTTGATTCTCATAAAGACTGGGATTAGCTTATAGCCAGTCATGTGGTGTGTCTTCTGAGGCACCTGAACAGCATTGACCATCTCTGCCAGATCACCACCCAGGACCCCCAGGGCCAGAGGATCTACCCCATGGCTGAAGGATAGCAGCCTGGACCAGTCTATGTGACTTGAAGTACACAAGTGAATCCTGTCCAGGAGGTTGGCCAGGTCTTTATGAAAGATTTCTAAAGCTTTAAGCCCAGGGCTAGGATATGCAATTTTGGTGAGCTCATGGGAGACTCTAGCTGCCATTCAGCTCGGAGATCTATTAATGATCATGCAGGCCCAGTCACCAAGGAGCTAGCTATGCCCTAAAATCAGTGACCCATCTGGGAAGGCTTCTTAGTTCACATAAGTCACAGGAATTGGAGAGAGCCATCTGAGTCCCAGACCCAGGATGTTTATCCAAGCCAAGGTGGAATAGGTGAGGCCCAGTTGGCAAAAGATCCAGAGAGGTTTCCATGAGCAGTAGAGGCTTTTCCTCTTCATGCTTTTCTTTTTTCATTCAATAAACAGATAGTGCTTGGGGGGCAAATTTCTTTTAGACCGATTGCCACTAGTATCAAGGGATGCTGGCAGAGAGGTGGACACAGTGGCCCTGAGAGCATAAGGCAGGGGCAGTGAGTCCTATCTGTGTTGATCAAAAGCAACAGGGAGAGACCGAGCTGAGTCTTGAATGAAGAGTTAGTTGCCACTGTCGACAATGAGTATCCCAAGCAGAGGGAGTATGTATAAAGGCTGAGCGAGCAGAATTGACAAAGGGGTGCTTTAGACAGGAGGTGACCCTAGTATGCCTCTTCCAGATTCCTTCCCAATCTCCCCAGCTCCTTACTTCTTCTCTGTTGGCTCCATGGTGCTGCACCATGAAACTGCTCGCTCTTCCCCAATTTCTGTGTTTTACACCAAGAATGGTCTTTCCCCCCTTGTCTTCCTCACAAGTTTCTACCTGCCCTTCAACCAACCCCCTTCACAGCCTGCACAGGCACAAAGAATCGTTCCCTTTTCTTTTCTCCAAATGCACAGTCCTCAACTGCAGCACTTTCATAACAGGTTACATGTTAATTCTTCTGTCTTCCTCACTCAACTCTGAGCTTTTGGGGGGAAAGCACCATTTGTTAGCCATCTCTGCACTTTAGGCAGCTAGAATAGTGCAGGTTGATGTTATTTTTTATAGTTAATAAGAAATATGAAATCCCCAGTATAATCTTCCTACCTCTGGTTATGCCAAATATCATCTCAAATTAGCCAAAGTGGGGTTCAAGATGAGCACACGAAAATATAATTATAATGAATATTTCTTGTATGAGGAGAAGGACCCAGAATTGAATCCCACTGACGCTTCTGTTATATCATGTATTATGTACATACGGTCATTATGGCTGGTAGAGCAAGCTCTCTTACCTTGTTCTTCCTTTTCAGAGTTGCTTTGACTACTTTTAGACCTTTAATCTTTATCTTATTTTTAAAATCAGTTTTTATGTTTCACAAAAAATCCTCTCAGATTTTTTCCTAGAATTAAGTTTTAGATTAATTTGAGGAAAGTGAGACACCCTTTTGACACAGAGTAGTGGCATGACCATAACATATTTTACTACTTTTGTTCAGGTCAGAGAGATATATTATTTCTGGATATGGGATAAAGAAAAATAAATTGTCCTCCTAGAAATGGAATACACCCAATTAAAATGAGAATTCTTGTGACCTTCGTTCCATGAAAAGAAAGGCAAAAAGTCCTCTTAAATATCTATAAAATAGTTTGAGACAAAGAAAAAACAGCAACAAATAACTCTCTGGATGTTAAAATTGTGAGTGAGTAAACAAAAAATAAAAATCATCATAAATCGGTGGAAAATGTTTGCAGTACAAAATGTCAGAGCACAAAGAACAAACTCTAACCTCAACAGTTATTAGAATGGCAAGCAGAAATGCAGAGCTCTCCTGAAATGGATCCTTAAGTGAAAGGGAGGAGGCACCACAGCTACTGAAGAGTGGGTTCAAATAGAAAAAGACTAATAGGAGCCATTGCAACAAACTGAATATGAGCACTATGGAAATATAAGCTGATTGAAGCAGTAGGAAATAGTACCTGTGAAGCAGAAGTCAAACTTGGGAAATAAAGAAGCCCGTTTCCAAATCTTAAAATCCTATGATTCCATATGTCCTAGGGAAACAGTTTCCCTCTTGTCGCTAAAAGGATTCCTTTTTCGTATAATGCAAAGCTGTGTCATTTTTCTTCTTTCGTTTATTAATATGACTAAATTAGATTTCCTTAAATGTTCAACTATCACTACCTTCCTGAAATAAACTTCATTAATAAATTATTATTCTTTTGGATTCCTGCTGGATCCATTTCATTAATATGCTTTACAGATTTTGCATCTATATTTACAAATGAAGTTGGACTCTTTGGGGAGGGGTTGTGTTTATCATTGCGCGTGTTAATTTCATTTAAATGAATTGGAATAGTTTTTCTTTCCTAATCAGAGAAAAATTGAATAGCACAAAAATAGCTGTTTCTCAAAGATGTGAAACTTACTTGTGAATCTCTTTAGGCCCAGGGTTTGTTGTTGCTGTTGTTTTTCAGGGCTTGGGTGTGTGGATTTGGGGGAGGGTGGCATGAGGTAGAGTGAGGGGAGTTCTTTTATAACATTTTAAAGAACACTAACAGAAAGTCAAAACAGCCTTTCAAATAATTTCCAAAGTTACCAAAGTTTCAGGTAATGAGTCCAGTTAATGGAGAGCTCAAATGTAAAATATTAGAATGTGAAGATAAATAATATAAGATAAAGACAAGTGACCACCTGAGTCAAGCAACATCTGCTTTTGTTTTCCTAGATCAGGAAGTGTGCTGCACCACTGGAATGAAATCTATTACTTTGTGGAACAGCTGGCTCATAAATTCATCAGGTGAGAAACGCTATGAATTTGCTTCACTTGTAGTTCTCTGTCATGAGTCAAACCAGTCATGTTTGCTATTTTATTAATAGCAAATACTATATACTTTGGGGATGTTTTTCAACTAAGGTGGGCTCTCAGATCTTGGACCAGAGACTGTTTACTTTGTTTTCATCTTTGCCACATTTTAGAGTAACTTTTGGCTTTATGTTTTTGGGAGGAATCAAATATGGTTATGAGACCAAAAATATTTAGCATTCTCCTTTCTCTGTTGAATAGCATATTCTTATTACCTTTAACATTTTTCTTGCACGGTGCATCATGCTGCAGCAATTGGTATATCTTAGCTGGACTCACGTGTAGGAAGTACAGTGTGTAGGATGAAGTATTCATCCTGGATTGCCCAGAAATTTCCCAGTTTTAGCACTGAAAGTCTCACATCCTAGGAGGAACGCTCCTTAGTCCTGAGCAAAATGTGACAATTGGTCACTAAATACACAATTGGTATACTATCAGGTAGAATCCTCTGAGCATTTTCAACACCACTTTCCCAGGCAAGACAATGCAATTTCAAACATAGTCACTGCAAATATCATGGGAGTCTTGGACTTTCCAGGGAGTATGGAGGCTCACTAGTAAAGGAAATGAGGCCACTTTGCCCCTCTGTGTGCAGCCTCCAAGGGATAACACAACAGTAATAGTTTTCATGGAGTGCTTGACACAAGTTGTCAACGTCTTCAGTAAAATTGGTCTGATCATCGTAAATTCTAACACAGCTCCACTTCATGCTGATGTCCTCCATAGAGTCTTCCAGTTGATCAGAGTGACCATAAAGTTCTTCTTTGAATAAGTCACCAGGCTGGAGTGCAGTGGCATGATCTTGGCTGACTGCAACATCTGCCTCCCAAGTTCAAGCCATTCCCCTGCCTCAGCATCCTGAGTAGCTGGACTAAAGTTGCATGCCACCATGCCCAGATAATTTTTTGTATTTTAGTAGAGATGGGGTTTCACCATGTTGGTAAGGATGGTCTCAATCTCCTGACCTCATGATCCACCTGCCTCAGCCTCCCAAAGTGCTGGGATTACAGGTGTGAGCCACCGTGCCCAGCCAAGTAAGGTTCTTTATCTCAGAATACAGGTTATCCTCTAAGCCCTGGGTAGTGACAGACAGGTTCCCCTCAAATTCAGCTATTGACCTCAACACATACCTATCTGCCTAATTGGAGGGAAAGGGTTAGGAGGTGGCTTGTCTTGTTATGCCAAAAATTGGAAGGTACAGCAGGAAGCATCTAAACCCAGATGATAGGAAAAACAGATGCTGAGAGGACAGAAGGGAGAAAAAAGTACATGGGTGGTGGTAGAAAATGTATTAAAGGATCATAGAAACTAAGAATTGAAAGGAATGACTTCCCATCCTATCCTAGGAGGCATTGTGTAACTCTCTACTTGAATACCTCTGGTGAAAAATCACTGCCTTTTGAGGCAAAAGTCCAATAGTCGGACAATTCCAGTTTTCATAAATCTTTTTGTCATTAAGCCAAGATGTCCTTTCCTCACTCGCAGCCATTGGTCCTTTAGAGTGATATAAAACAAGTCTGCCTCCACACCCTTTACAGTATCTGCTCTGTCTCTAATTGCTCTTCTGGACTTCTGCTCCCTCTGAAGCGGAGGAGTCTAGTGGAATAGGCTTTGAAGTCAGGCAGATGTGAGTTTGAATCTGAGTTCCATTGTGCAGCTATAGCAATTAACCAACCATGGCTGAAGCCTAGATTATATATGAGGCTTATAAGAGAAAACATGTGCAAGCCAACTAGTCCATCACCTGGCTTAGAATGGGCCCACAACATCTTTTCAGTTCCTTCAGCAATTCCAGACTCTTCACTGTCTTAGAATCAAAAAATTGTGGGCAGGGGCAAGGGAGGGGATTAAGAGAACACTTGATCCATTTCCTGTGCTTTATACATGAAGAAACTGAGGACCGGGGAGGTTGACATGGCTTAATCCAGACAAGGCACCCTTCTCTGGTTGTCTCTGCTAACCCTACTTGGCCATGGAGCCCCTCAAAGTGTAGAACCAAGAGCTTGCCACACACAAACTCCACGAGGTAGAGGCTGGGCTGTAGTCTGATGACATTCACAGCCCAAGTGCCCATAACAGTGCCAGATACATAGTCCATGCTCAGTCAATATGGGCGACTGGATGAATGGGCGATTTTCATTTATTTATTCATTTTAATAAAAAGTCTAAGGCAGCTGGGACTGTAGGGGAGAAATTCATTCGATAACAGTGGCTAATGTCAGTACAAGTACATCATTTCTAATCTCAGTGGGATTTTTGACATTTTAAGTCATTTTATTTATCTTTATTCTGACCCTTGGTCATTTTTCTGATAATGATTCTAATGCTTTGCCATTTCCTCAAGCCTTCAATCTACACCTCACACCCATCACTCTTAGCAAAGAACCTCACCTCCTACTTCACCAAGAATCCAGCAAGCAGTAGACATGTTCAAGTTCCAATCTACTCCTAAAAGATGCATATATGTCCTTCCCACTAGCCTCTGAGATCCAAGTTTCCCTCCTATGTAAGGCCAACCTCTCCATTTTAGTCCAGTTTTATCCCATCATCTCCCATCTCCTCCAGGTCTTTGTTTCTGTCTTGTATTCTTCTCTACTTCTCCCCTGGCTCCTTCCCCACAGTCTACAAACACAGACTAATCTCTCCTGCCCCTCGTCCCAAAAAAGCAATGGCAGTGAATCTCTTGCTTTTGTCTTCCTATAGATGGGACCCTATTTCTTTACTGGTTTCTCACTCACATGTCTTTGAAGACTGGTCATCTGCGTGTCCATCCTTCTCATTCATTCCTTAACCCAATGCTCTCTGGTCCTCATCCCCACCCTTCACTGCTTGCTCTCACCAAGTTCACTAACGGATGACCCAGAGGAAAAATCCAGGAGCACTTTGCAGCCCTTAGTCCACTGGATATAGGGGTCTCAGTGGATGCATACTTATCCTTCCTTGAAACTCTCTCCTCCACTGGCCCTTGTTCTGCTTCCATCTCACTGGCCTCAGCCAGCCCTTCCCACGCTGCTGGTGGTTTTCTATTTGGCTCACTTCCCTCCTCACTGCTGACGCTCTCTCTGAACAACTCTGTCCACATCAGTACGCTGAGGACTTCCAAATTATGCCTCTAGCCTAGACTCATATGCCAGTTGCCTCTTGGAGACCTTTGCTTTCCACATTTAAAGTTTATTATTTCCAGAGCTGAACTTGATGGAAGCGGTACAGTATAGAATGTGGCAGTTAGGAGCCCAAGTTCTAGGACACAGTGTCTGCTGCCCCAGTACTGGTGAAGTAGTTACAGGCAGCACGGGGTCATGAACAGAAAACTGAAGTCTGTTTTAGGGACCAATATTCAATTCCCCAGGTATTGCCTGCGCTGCATCAAATGTTGAACATCACGCAACGGGCTTCCAAAGATGCATCAGGCACATGGTAATAAATGTAGAGTTTATCCTGGAGGCAGTAGGAGCCACTGGAAATTTTATACCAGTTAAGTGACAGGGTATAATTTTTGTTTTAGGAAAATAATTCTGGGAGCAGTGTGAAGAGTGAATTGGAGCAAAGAACGCTCCTAGGCAAGACACCAGCTAGGAAATTGTAGTGGTCAGACAATTGAGGCCAGGATCTTAAGTTAAGAAATGGGAAGTGAGGCAGGTTCGAGAAACACTTGGGGAACTGGAACTATAAGTTTCAGAGCCCGATGAGGTGTGGGAGGTTATTTCATTGTGAAGAAATAGATTGATATTATCACAGAAGAACAAGTTGAATACACAGAACGGCACTGCACTACTGAATCGCTGCAGTCTGGTGGTCCATCTTGCAGATTGAGAAACAAATTCACCCTCAGGTGAGAGTGCTTCTGCCTCCAGAGTGTGACTCTTACATTAAGAATGCTCCTGAGCACTGCCATATAAAAACCATGCCAATTTATTCATTAATAATGCTGCCAAATGGAATAGATATTCTTATGACCAGTCAGCACATTCTCTCCTTAGAGGATAACCTCCTTGGGAAGCCAAGGAGAAATTAAAAGTTGATGGTGATTCCACTTTCAGATCAAAGGAAGTTTGTTATATGATGTTAATGGCTGATGGCATCAAGCTGCAACTCATCATTAGAGAATACACCAGACTACTGTGGAAACATTATCAAATTTTGTCTATTGGGATCCCCTTTTATAGACACCATACAGACTGGTCCCCTGTTGGAACACACTTCTTCAAACAGAACCCAGGGCAACAAGGAAGTTTATCATTCTAACTTGTAATCCACACTCCCCGAGCAGAAGCAGCCTCCAAGAAGACCCAGAGTATCTTCTCTTTGACCTATACTTCAAGTACACTGCTGGCTAATTAACACCTGCAATGCCAGCCTTAGAGGCCCCCTGTGCATTCAGGGTCATCAGCTCTGGCAACCATGATAGAGCAGGAGGGACAGGGAGGGAGCCTGAAGGGAGTGGCATGCACAGTCTTATTATCTGTCCTCATAGAGCTTCTTTTCCTTTCCAGCCCACAGCTGAGAATGTCCTTTATTGTCTTCTCCACTCGAGGAACAACCTTAATGAAACTGACAGAAGACAGGTAAGCATACTTCTCATCCCTGTTGTTAAAAAGTCAATCACCCCATTCAGAAAACAGGAGTTTCTGATCCCTTATTAACAGAAGGAGAAACTGAGGCCATATCACCTTCCTGAGAATAGCAAACAACCCAGACCAGACCCAGCCTCCACATTCTTTCCAGTTTACCTTGCTGTCTTCTGTTTAACAGAGAATCATAAAATCCAAGACACTTGTGTGACTTGCCTTCAATATTGGCCAAGGAGGTTAAGAAGCTCTGAGGAGGTGTCTCTAGCCATCTCAAGATGCCTCATCTTGCTCAGTCTTCAGACAATGCCATCCTTTATGCAGAGATGTCTTTTGTTCAGCGATGGGGAGCTAAACACCCCTCTTATCTGTTCTTCACATCCTGCTACAACCCAGGACTTCCTAGTGCAGCTTCATGCTGGCTTACATGCTCCCTGCATGAGAGTTTGGCCAAGAGACCAGGTTCACACATCACTTGCAGGTATTTTGTGTGTTAATGCCTGCAGCTTCTGGGAAGTTGAAGGGGGCAGAGGGGTCAGGTATTTATAAACACTATCAGAATGCCAAGGCTTCTAGACCCGTTTTGGTTTGTTATGCTTGTTGGAATTAGTCATTCTCTGAATCTAATTGGAACTAATTTTTGTGTGCCTTAACTTCACTTCTATTTTCCTGTTCTGAAGATAAGACAGAGGGTAGAGTCCCTGGTTTGCTGGAAGCAGCATTTCATATGGGTCAAATGTGCATCAAACAACAGCCAGAAATGCCTTGCTGAAGGCTGTGTGGGTTTCATGCAGCGACTGCTTGGCCTAGGTCAGCTGGCAAAGCATAGCGTGGTTCACGAACACACCCCCAACCTTATCAGCCTATGGAAGAGATGTGGGCCAGAGCTCTCTGAAACTCTTTCTCAGGAGACTGGCTAAAAGAATCAGGCTTTCAGATCTTCCAAGCTAGTACTGCTTCTGAAATATACGACTTGGCAGTGTTTTAGTTGAGCACAGAAATTTATATTTTTCTATCTCACTTGATCTTCACAATATCCGTATAAAACAGTTAAGGGTCCATTAATATACGTGTATAATAATTGAAAAACCTTATAGAATTAAGAAAAACTTGTTCAAAAGCAAGACATGAATTGGCAAAGACTTTCATTTCAGCAAAAGATTTTGGATAAATCAAAAGAAATAATATCAAAGATGTACAGCTGATCCTTAAACAACATTTTGAACTGAATGGGTCCACTCATACATGGGTATTTTTTAACCAAATGCAGATCAAAAATACGGTATTCACGGGATGCAAAACCCACATATATGGAGGGCTGACTTCTAGTATCTGCAGGTTCTGCAGGACTGACTGCATGGATTTTGGTATGCTCAGGGATCATGAACCAATCCTCTGCCTATAGTGCGGAATGACTGTATCTGTATTTAGTTCCTGAGATCAAATACACATAGGGTAAAACTATGAGAAGATGAAAAAATAGAATGGAAAATAAATATAATGTGTTAAGATACAGTAAAGAAGCTACAATTAGACTAATAATGCCTACCATTTGTGTCTTTTATCTGCAAAGCACTTTACATACCATTTTTTATTTATCCTCATATAACCATTGTACTCTATTTTCTAATGGGAAGGAACTATGCAGTCATTTGAATCATTGTTTCATATATGCGTTGTTTTTCTCTAACTGCTTTCACAGTTTCTTCTTTTTTAGTTCTTAGCAGTTTGATTATGTGTGGGGGCATGGACTTCTTTCAGGGTACCCAGTTTTGAATTTGCAAAGCTTCTTGAATCTACAAACATGTCTGTCACCGTATTTGGAGAGTGTGCGGCTACTTGAGTTGGGGGACAGAAATTCTGGACCTCATGATACTGTGGTCATTTTTCTTGGTTTTAATTTTCTTCCCCAGTCCACCAATTTTGTTTACTTTCCAGTGAACTTGGTTGCTTTTTCTGTTGTAATAAGCAGGCGATATAGGCAGTAGCAAGTATACTCTATCTTGGTTGCTATTACTTGAGTTTTACAGATAGGGACACTGAGGTTCAAAAAAGTTTACATAACCTGCCGAGGTTATTCCACCAAACTAGTATTCTGATTCTGGATTCTAAATTTGGTCCAACTCCTGTAATTTGTATTGTATCATATTGCTCTTCCAAGACTTCCTGGCTTCATCAGTTTAAACAGTTGACACATTGTAACAAATTTTGCAGGTCACTTTATTAGTATAACAGAGTGTACAATATCAATTTAAGTACTGTTAGAGTAAAATAATGTTAACTACTACCTATGATTCCCTGGAAACTCCAGAAATAGTCTTGTTCTTACATTAATTGAAATACTTCAAGTGTGTCATCATTTGGAAATGAGACCATGTCAAGAAGTTCAACTATTCATTTGAAAGAATACATGCTCAATTTAATCAAATGCAATTTTGCCATCTGTCAAGATGGTGATATTTTTTCTTTTACCTACTAGTACAGTGAATGTCATAAAAATCATTTTTAAATAATGAATCATTCTAGTATTTCTATATACATCTGGTTATGATATATTCTTTTAATATATATCTGAATTCTGTTTTTTTATATTATTCAGAAATTTAGCACCGCTATTTATAATTGCAATTGGGCTGTCATTGTCCTTTCTATTTCCACCTTTTCTCATAATATTTTTGATTCTTTTTTATTTAAATTGTTTTTCTTCTAAAATTTATTATGATGTAAGGTACAAGGTCAATGTCCAGTGTTTCCCCGATTGATTAGCCAGTTCTTCCCACCATTGCATAATAATCTTTTACCAACAACTTGAATAGTTAAACTCTTTGCTAGGCTTGGGTTTATTACTGGGTTTTCTATTCTGTTCTGTTTTTCTGTTTGTTTCTATACTTGGATCACATTGTTTTAATTAGTTTTAACATCTGGAGGATGAGTCTATCCACATTTCTAATCTTGGGTGAAAATCTCCTTGGTCTTTACTGGATTTTTCCAACCATATACATGTTAAATAACTTTTTATGTTTCCAGATATCCCTGGGATTTTCACTCGAACTGTGTGAAAAACACAGATTAACTCAGCAGCAACGGCACTGCATTATTTTCTATACTTATTTCCTTATTTAGGGATATATCACATCTCATTTATGTCCCTCAGTGCAGTTTTGTTCTTTTCTTCAAATTAGTCTAATTGTTAACTTCTTTTCCCCAGGCATCTTAAAGTGTTGCTTTTATTGTGAAAGAAATGTTTTACTGTTGTATTTTCCAAATTGTCATTCTTCACTCTTGACTGGTGAACCTATAGTTTGTGATCCATGGGCTTCTATTGAACTCCATAAAATGATTTACAAAAATGTGCATGTCGGTGGGTTTTCTGTAGAAGAGGCCTACAGCCCCCATCCCCATCCCCTGCCAAAAAAAAAGCTTAAAAAATATTAATTTTGGGAAAAACAATAGGTTTCCAACAGGTTTTTTATAGATTTAGTTCTATTATTTTTATTATTATTTTAATTAAGAGGGTGTCTTGGTCTGTGACCCAGGCTGGAGTGCAATGATGTGATCTCGGCTTACTGCAACCTCCACCTCCCAAGTTCAAATGATTCTCCTGCCTCAGCCTCCCTAGTAGCTGGGATTACAGGTGCAGGCCACCACACCAGGCTAATTTTTGTATTTTAATAGAGATGGGAGTTTCATCATGTTGGTCAGGCTGGTCTCAAACTCCTGACCTTAAATAATCCGCCTACCTCAGCCTTCCAAAGTGCTGGGATTACAGGTGTGAGCCACCATGCCTACTCTCTTATCCCCGCACTTTAATAAAACATTTTCTTAGTTCTAGTAGTTTTCCAGTTAATTTAACAATTTTATTCATCAAAGTATACATATTTTCTAACATCCATGGATACTAAATAAAATTTGATCATGTTGTAGTCCACCAACAAACATTAATAAGCTAAAAAATAGAAAGTATATAAATTGAATTTTTAAAACCTGCCGACTCTGGAAATTGAGAAAAGGGTAAACAAAATGTGAAAATTGTGAAACCCTTTTCCTAAATCATCCTAAATTAAAAATAGTAAATATAGCTATTAAAAAATTAACAATATTAAGAACAGGACATGTCAAAACTATATCAGATTTAAAGTATAATTTATACTATTAAAGCTTTTCTTATTTAGAAAGAAATAAAGTATAGTGGATAATCTTTTTTGTTTTTTTGAGATAGAGTCTCGCTCTGTTGCTCAGGCTAGAGTGCAATGGTGAGATGTCAGCTCACTGCAACCTCCACCTTCCGGGGTCAAGGGATTCTTGCCTTCCTAGTAGCTGGGATTACAGGTGCACACCAACATACGCAACTAATTTTTGTATTTTTAGTAGAGATGGTGTTTCACCATGTTGGCCAGGCTGGTCTCGAAATCCTGGCCTCAAGTGATCAGGCTGTCTTGGCATCCCAAAGTCCTGGGATTATAGGTGTGAGCCACCATGCTGGGCAATTATCTTTTATTTTGAGAAGCCAGAAAAACTTGCAATGTAAGAAGCAGGCAGAATTAATAATAGTAAAAAAATAAAATAATGAATCGTAAAATTTAAAAGTATATAAAACAGAACTTATGAATAAATATAAGAAACCATTAGGTAATTTGAATGGGGCAAATAAGAGAAAAGAAAATAGCTTTACATGACTGTAGGAAAGGAATATAACCAAAGATACGGAAGAGCTTTTGAAAATGAAAAAGATAGGTGATAAATTTAAAATGTCAACATATTAGTAATTTCTACCATTTCTCAAGGTAGAAAACATGATAAAAACAATAACACAAAAAGCTGAGGTAACTGTCAAAGAGCTTCTTCAATCATAATTTAAGTTTTGATAGTTTTCCTCTGAGTTGTATCAAATTTGGAACAAACATTTGCTTTCTATATTAGTTAAGCAATTCTGCAGCTTATAGAAAGATTGCCTGCTCATTTTTCCAAGCTCATGTAATCCTTTTACTCCCAACCTG